TAGTTAGGGAAAACGACCCCAAGGAATGGAAGATTCGGAGTTTCGCTTGGCAGATGCGCTGCGTGCATTTTGAATGTCAGACAGCGGACCAGGTACTGGGGACATAGCCATGAATATGACAGGTACTGTGAACGCTTCATTTTGGGCAGCTGCCATGGCATTGTAGGGGAGAAGGTAGACAATGTATAAGTCAACGGGGACAGTTCCAGACACTGTTAAGAAGAAAGGGAGATGGTGGCCATTAATATAAACAATAAATTTTTTTTTCTTTTTTTTTTAAGATTTATTTATTTATTATGTATACAGAAGAGGGTGCCAGATCTCATTACAGATGGTTGTGAGCCACCATGTGGGTGCTGGGAATTGAACTCAGGACCTCTGGAAGAGCAGTCAGTGCTCTTAACCTCTGAGCCATCTCTCCAGCCCCCCAAACAATAATTTTTTTAAAAATCAAGACAACACAACCAAATCCACTGGTCCCTACCCTGTACTCTCTGAGCAGCAGTTACTGTGGGTAATGCAGAGTTCAGGTAAACATAAAAGAAGCTCCAGACCTGGCTGGGTTTGCTCACCCTGATGTGAATTTGGAGACCCACAAGCTTTGCTGAGATGGAAGGAAACGGTGTGCATGAAAGGGCTTATAATCAGTTGAGTTCCTAGTAGGGTCTATTATTATTGCATGGTCTCCCAAGACTCTTCGTTAGGGACTTCTGGTTTAGCATATGGGAGGGAAGGAGAGACTCTGCAGAGGAACTAAACACGTCTGGAGAAATGTCTGGGGGATGCTGTGTGTTCGGGTCTTCCAGAGTCGTCTTTGGAGCCTTTGGCTTCCCCAGGGGGACCTCTGCTTCTTCAGAGGCTGATGAGCCACCTGCCCTTAGTTATTCTTCACGTTGGGGATGTATGTAAAGTGTTCCTAAAAGCATCTTTGGGCAGAACTTTTTTCTTTGAAATTGAGTAGATGTCAAGAGTGGATGAGCTCTCCAGTGGAGAGAACTGATAGAACACTGAAGGCGTTCAGGCCACTGGCTCCCACTTTGTGACCTGGCTCCCTCCTAGAACAAAGTAGGCGTGACACTGTGATATCAGTCTTGGGAGACTCCCTGGAACAGGATGGGGGAGGCTCTACAGCTGAATCAGGCACCTGCCTTCCCTGTTGTGCTGCCCAAACCCAGCAGTTCATCTTTGGATCAACACAGCAAAATCGAGACCAATTGAAATTACTTCAGGCGCTGACTGTCAATCAGCCTTAGAGCATGGCACACTATACTGAAAAAAAATCCTAAACTCATCTCATCCCACAATCCCCTAATTTAACAGGAAACAAAAGGCCAGATTGGGGGGAGGCCATTGCCCAAAGCTCTAGAGTTGGTGGCAGGTCTCTGATGACTAGATCCTAGATCCACCTGCAGAGGCTGAGGGGTCCTTTACTGCCATAGTTCCCTCTAAGATGCCCGCCTAACACAGTGCCAGCGATGAGTAACCATGTGGCACTGTGAGCACATATTGGATGTGTGTTCTAGGTACCGTGCTGAGCACTCAACACTTCCTCATCAAATTCTTGGAGCTCCAAGCCTCCCATTTGCCCCTCCTCTCCTCTTCTCTACCTCTTGGTGCCCATGATGTGCTCCATGTGGAGATGTGGAGTATGAAAGATTCTTCCTTGCTCTCTGAGTTCTTCTGGTTTCGGCTCATGGGGTATGTGGAAAGTAGCGGGAGGAAGCAACGTGAACTCAATGCATTTGTTCCTTTAGACTAATCCCTGCAGGGTTAGTGTCACAGGCCATTCCCTCTGTGGTGGGTCCTAGCTACTGTCATGGACGCTGACACTCACACTTGTCCTGGTGTCCCTTCAGGCCTAGGTCTGATAACAGCTTCCACTGTTCCCAGCCTCAGGGCTCTGGACCTTTCTTTCCTCCCTTGGGCTTTGGCTCCATGGTTGGGACTTCTTTGTTGGTAGGTTGGTTTGCTTGTTTGTGTTTGGTGTGGTTGACCCATTGGATTAAGCCCATTCAAATGCCTCCTTGTTAAATGTGGAGCAGAACCCCACAGAGTAAGTGCATATGGCGCCCCAGCGCACGACTTAGGAAAGGGAGACAAGGCACACAGTAGGTGAGTTCTGGGAACTCCAGAAGTGTTAGTCCTAGACTGTCCCTGACACTCCCCTCTTAGAGCCAAGTGACATGGGTGGGCGGATGGATGCTCCTGAGCTTGGCATTTTCAACACCAAGAGAGTTTGCTGTTCCTAAGTCTCTGAAAATCTGTACATTCTTATTAGGCTGTTTTGTCTATCCCTCAGGCCAGGGCCATTAAGTGCCTGGCAGGCAGTCTGTAAGAGGTGACAGTGTGGAGAGGTTCAGAGAAAGCAGACAGTAACATTTGTTTCTCTGCTTGGAAGCTTAAAGCAACAATAAACAAATAAACTGAAAAACCAGAGGGGCTGGAGAGAGAGTTCAGTGGGTAAGAGTTCTTACTGTTGTTCTTCCAGAGAACATGAACTCGTTTCCCAGGACCCAGGCTGGGCAGCTCGTACTTGCCCACAACTCTAGCTAGCTCCAGGGTATCCCAAACCCTCTTCAGGCACATACTTGCACATATTTGTCACACACACACACACACACACACACACACACACACACACACACACACAAATAAAAAATTAAGTGCCCTGAAAAAACAAGGTGACCTTAATCAATTAAAGGACCAGCAGCAAATAGCCCCCTGCCTGTGGGCAGCCTCTGCGGATGATTTCATCTGGTGGAGACGGGTTGTTAGTATGACATGCTGCCCAGAACTGCACATCGTCTCTCCTCTCATCTGAGAACATTTTCCTCTACTCTGAATTGTGCAAGCTCAGACTGGGAGTGACAGGGGCCAGCCTACAGCTCTGCTGACCTACTTCCTGGCTGGCTCTCCAGCCGGCAGCCCGTACAGCGTTCATTTAACCAGCTTTTCAAGGTCAGGACTTTCCAGCGTGGAGGCCTGCTTTTTGCTTGACACAAAGCCAGGTACCATCAATTGTCCTGCTTACGAAAATTTCAGCGTTCCCTTTCTTTAGCTGAGTGAGAAGCACGGGGTGGGCTCCTGTTTAGGACAGATAACAAATGTAGTTGCTTTGTGCCTAAATTGGCCACTTGGTCTAAACTCCGGGTGTTTAAAAAGCAGGTTTTTCACTATTGTGAAATGCCTGGGCAGAGCCGAATGCAAACAGGGAAGGATCTAGGTGTCTGGTGGATGGTCACACTCCCCCACCCACCCACTTTTTGTGATGCAGACAAATGTATGCGCCACATAAACACAATGTCTTATTTTTTTTCCACTCTTATGAAAGGATCATATGAAGCCAGCTCTCCACAGATAAAAAGCGACTGCTTTGTGTATCTATTATGGCACCTTTCATCTCGACAGGCTTTGTGAGAAACTTCTAGCCAGACTTACATTCTTCTCTGGTTTGATAAAGATAAATTGTATTCAGTGAGAGAGAAGGAGGAAAAGTTTCTTGATTATTCTCTAAATAAAAAGTCAAGGGGAATGCGATTCTTTTTGCCTTGAGTACTTAAAGAAGCCGGCCTGCCTTCCAAACGACCTCGGGTCTTCTACGGCTCTTCAGCACACCGAGTGCTTGATCTGAGAGAAGCCTGCTCTAGCTGGGGCTCGGTGTGTGCTCATTAGGGACCAGAGCACGCGGCACATGTGCCTGCTAATCATGGGCAAGCCAGTGCGGGTGACGTGGGGAGCTGGTGTATGCCTACCCTCTGCAGTTGGGGTCAGCCTTGCTCCTTGACTGCTGCATGGATTTTGACAGGTTGCTCCCCCCCCCCCCCCCCGCCCCCCGTGCCTCAGTTTCCCCGCCTGGAGTGCAGAGACAGCAGCAGTACCTTTGTAAGATGTGTGAGAGCCGAGTGTCAGGTGTTTCAAGCCACAGGGAGCCTAGAGTTGGCTTTTGACTCAGTCCGTTTGCTCTAACAAGACAACGTGGAGTGGGTAATTTGTAAACGACAGAATTAGTACTCAGCTCTCCAGGCTGGGAGGCTCACATCAGTGTGAGACAGATTTGCTTCCGGTCAAGTTTTCTCCTTATGCACAAGATCCCTGGACAATGAAAGCGGGATCTCTCTGGCAGGGAAGGCCCCGGTGACCTAGCCACACTCCAAAGACCCTACTTGTTGCTGCTTTTGTTTGAGGGTTAGGTTTCACACATGTATGCTGGGGGGACACAGACATTGGGACAGCAGCTTTTGCTAAGCATCAACAATTGTGACCATAGGGCAGAAAGCTAGGAAGAAACCTAGTTCTGTGTGTGAGGGTATGGATACATGTGTGCATATGTTCATGAATACATGTATGTATGTATGAATGTACATATGCATGCATGAGTATACAAATAAGTGTGCATGTATACAAATACAGGTATATGTTCATGTGTCCACAAATAAATGTACATGTATTCATGAATGCTGTGTGTATTTGTGAATGCATGTATTTATGCATAAGTGCATGAATGAATGTATATATAAATGCATGGGTATATTTATGAATATATGCATGTGTGTGCATGAATGTGTATATCTATGAATGCATGTATATATGCATAAGTACATGAATGAATCTATACATGTTAATGAATGTTTGTGTGTATTATATGAATATATGTGCATGTATATGCATGTATGCATGAATATATGTGGGCTTTGCTGAATATACATGTAGGTATGGATGCATAAATATATGTATGTGTATGTATGAATACAGCTATATTTATGAATGTATGTTTGTATGCATGAGTGTATGAATGAATATGTGTATGTGTGAATGCATGCATACATGTATGAGTATATATGTGAACGTATGTATGTATGTATTTGTAAAGGCATGAATGGATATGTATATGTGTGAATGCATGCATGAGCACATGTGTATGTTCATGAGTGAATTTGTATATATGCATGTATGCACAAGTACATGTGTATGTATGAATTCATTTATGTGTGTGTACACAGAGGAAGAGCTGAGTTGCTGTGTTCGGGGAGAAAGGAATCAGGGGAAATGGAGCGAAGAAAGGCTGGTGCTGGGTATTCTGCAAAAGGCTGCGATTCGGGTGTCCTGGGGACAGAGTCTTTCTCCGCCCACTTTAAGAAGGAAGATCGAAGATCCAGGTATGTCGTGGGTTGCTACTCTGCCTGGGCGTCTGGTGTTTTAGATTTTGCAGACACAGCCTTCAGAGCTCACAGTGTCTTGAGGCCCATTGAGCAGGGGATGACTTCTGAGACCGAGTCTGCCTCAATGGCTGTTGTCACTCAAGAAGCCCCGTCAGCAGCCTGAAGCCAGTCAACAGTCTCAGTGCCACAGGAATGGGTCACGCAGGCTGCAGGCGCTTATGACCTCGTGATTTAAAGTGTAGAATCTTTTGACCTTGCCCATTTGTTGGAAGCGGGTTGCAAACATAAGAATTTTAATGGAATCATAGCAATATTATCATCTTTGAAAATGTATTTCTTAAACAAGCCCAACAATTTATCTAACGTTCTTATTAATATTCTGATGAGCATAGTAAATCCTTTTAATTTGTTTTCTATCGTTTATGAAATTTTAATTTTTATTAGGTCCAGAGAAAGAAAAGCTCAGGAAAGGAAAGGGGGGGACAGAAGGGGAAAGGTCAGAGTGGAGAAAGAAGCCGAGAAACTCAGAGGGACAGATGTGCAAACGTGGACGCAAAGACATGGAGAAAACCTCAGAGACGAAGGCGCAGACTCAGAGAAGGTGAGAGATCCACAGAGGGAGGCCCACTGGAGCCAGGGAGATGGAAGCTCAAAGAAACATCACACGCGAGGAGAGGGAAAAGGAGAGTAAGTAACAGAAAATGCACACACACACACACATACACACACACATATACACATACATACACATACACACACACATACATACACATACACACATACACACATACACATATACATATACACAAACATATATACACCTACACACATACATATACATACACACACATACATACACATACACACACATACATACACACATACATAAATATACACACACATACACACACATACATACACACATATGCATACGTACACACAAAAACATACACATGCATACATACACATACACACACATACATAAATATACACACATATACACACACATACATACACACACAAGCATACACATACATACACATACACACACATATATACACATACCCACATACATAAATATGCACACACATACACATACATACACACATATACATACATACACACACAAACATACACATACATACATACATATACACACATACATAAATATACACATACACATACATAAATATACACATACACATACATAAATACACACACATACACATACATACATGCACACATATACATACATACACATACATACATACACATGCACACACATACATGCACACACACACCTCATACCATACCAAGGAAACAACAGTCATTCTGGGGTGCTGAGAGCTAAATTTCTGGTTACCAGGGCATTAAAATGCTATTGGGGTCAAGCAATGGAGTTGAACTACCTACAAGATCAAAATGGTGGGACTGAGGTTGAACACACACACACACACACACACACACACACACACACACACACACACACACAGCTTCTCACGTAGGCTTGATAAAAGCAAGTTATTTACTTTAAGAGAATCTTCCTTTAGCTCAGAGTCTGGCAGAAAAATCCCTTTCTGGTTGGATGATCATTGTCATGTGACCTCAAAAAATATGTTTTTTCTTTCTTCCTGAGTTGGATGCCTCTTCATCCTCAGACTCCCCTCCACCCCCAGTGGCCTGTCTGCATTCCTCTTTTATGTTCCTGAGATCAGTGGTGGACAGACAAGGTGTAGCTATTGTCCCCTCTATACTCGGGAGCTGGCAAATCTTGTGAGGTTTGGTGAGGTGGGGGCTGGTGAGCCCGAGCACTTGATACGGGAGACAGAAATGAAATGTCCGTGACTGAGGCACCATGGCTGTGAGTCTCATACGAAGCAGCATTTTATGTAGCTATTGCAAGACCTCAAAATCCTTACGGTTTCTTAAATCCCAGGGAAATGGGCTCCAAGACACAGAGAATGTAAACTAGATCTTTGAAATTCCCTTTGGTCGCTCCTGAGAACCTTATTCCTACAGCAGTACCTTCCGATTGACAATAGCTCACTTTTATATTCACGATCTCACCCTGTCAAGGTCTAGTCTAAAATCACCCTCAGAGAATATTGTGCCGTAACTTTTAAAAAGCCCCAATCCCCTCGATTTATGCATTTAATTTATTGTGTTTCTCTGTCAGGGCCTTCCTTTACACATAACCCAAACCCAGTTATGAGTGCCTCACACACCCCAGCCACTAAGCCACGATGTCAGAAGGCATTTTTTTAATTTCAGGCTTGAAATTCCCACAGTGTACTTTCAAGTCCCTTGTTCTTTGGGAATTTATACAGAAATTCCCACCCCCTCCCAGCCTCCTACTTTCTGCCCCCTTTGGAAGCAGTTAATTAATTTCATTTCTCAAAGATGCTTTGTCTCCTTAAGTATTTCAGTCTGGCTAGTCTTCCTCTGGGTATCACCTTTCATCAGCGCGTTCCGTAGACTTGTTCAGAAATAGCTCATTGTGGGCCAGTTGTCTCTGCTTGCTAGGACGGTTGCTTATGAGGTCAAGGTCTGCCTGCAGCACTCGGGAGTGCCTGATCTGGGCCACGTACTCAGAGCAAGACGGCCCAATCTCTCTGACTCTCTGATCCCATCTCAAAGATTCCGGTAGATGTGACTGAAGCTGGGGAAGGATTCAGGGGGACCTTAAACACTGAAAGTAAGAAATAAGAAAAGTGAGGAATAAGACCAAACTAGCGCCTTGAGAGCCCAGAGCAAAGCACCCATCTGTCAAGCCAACAGGGCTAAAAATGGGAGATAAAACCAAGAGTCGGTGGCCAGACAAAGGGTAGCTTAGGAAGGGATTAGGGAGAATGGCGGCCAGGATGTCTGCTGTGACCCTTGTTGGGTGTGGACAGCTCAGATTTATGGTTTAGCCAGTATGCAACACACAGGATAGAGGGCAGGCACACAGTCACTGGATGAGAAGTTTAGGCTATGGAAGGGGGGTCTGTTTACCATGCACCACCCCTCAGGGCTTCCAGGCTGTATGGAATGGAATGGGGCAGCCTCATTTTCCTCAGAGCAAGAAGAGAGGCACTTCCTGACACGTCTGTGCACAAGGCGTGATTACTCTGCCTTCTTCCTGGTCAACTGCTTTGCATGGTTGGACCTGGAAAACAGGTCTGTGGTAACCCATTGCTTCTTTTATTGACCCCTTTCAACTTCCTACCTCGGGTCAGAAGCTGGAATGAGGAGGTCTTGGGGGAGAGCAGACCAGGAGAGCAGGGAGAGGGTGTGGGGAGGTGAATGCCCACAGATGACGTGGCTTCAGGCAAAAGTCAGCATGGTCTAAACTGAGGAGAGTCTGAAAAGTCCTTGTGACGTTGGGACAGGGTCATGCAGTGACAGCTGAGGGTAGGGTTGGAGAGTGGCTAGTTCAAGGGCAGCAGACTGGAGTCCTGTGTAGGGGAAGTTCACAGTTCTGGGGAGTGCATCCACCATCATCAGTATTGCACCGTGACCTTCGAATGGCAGTGGGTCCACCATAAAATCTAAAATGGCAATGTTCGAGGAGTTCAGTTATGAGGGTGTGGGTGTTCCCTAAGCCTGTATGTTCCTAGAGGCTGTGATGTTTCTGAGAAATGTGTTGGATTCCACGCTGTACAGGAGCACAGGGAGCTCCCTGCTTCTGCCTACACCCTGTGCCCTTTGCCAAATCCAGACATGGTGCATTACTCTTTCCCTGTGGCATGTGGAGCCAGAGATGTTGGGTATTTTTTTTTTTTCAGAGGAGGCTCACTTAATGACTGCCTAAAATGTTTGGTTCATATCAGGCAGGATTAGAACTAACTGCATTGATTTGACTAATTCTATCTGTGGCTAGATTGGAACACCATTTGTTCAGGGGGTGAGGACTGAGGAGACTTTAGAATTGTGTACGTTCTTTTTTAATATTTATTTTGTGTGTATGAGTGTCTTGCCTGCATGTATGTATGTGAATGATGTATGTACCCTTGCCCAAGGAGGTCAGAGGAGGGGATCAGATTTCATGGAACTGGAGTTACATAGGATGGTGGACCCTATGTGATGCTGGGACCGGTCCTCTACGAGAGCAACAAGTGCTTTTAACCACTGAGCCATCTCTCCAGCCCCTCGCGCAGGGCACTTGGCTGTTGCCATATAGCATAAGAAATCATCTTCCAGCTTGAGTGTGAAAATAGTGTTACTTCACACGATGATTTAAGAGTAGGGAAGTCAGAATTCAGACACAGGCCCGCCTGAGGCCTGGGTAACATGGACCACATGGAGGAGGAGGTGCTTTGTTACAGAATATTATAGAAATGACAGGTCTGGCCCTCAGCTTTAGAGGGGCCGGCTAAAAGGAGAGACCTAACAGCTGGCACGCAGCTGTTTGAGTATCCGAGTCAATCTCGCTAAGGGGCTGGACAGGTGAGCGAGCCACCCTGAACATCCGAGCCCCGTGGACACCCAAATGTCTGCAGATGTAGCAGTCTCACATGGAGCAGTGAGTCGCCTGCCACACCTAATTCATGTGCAAAATCATAAGAGAAAAGAAAATAGTTTCAAGCCACTTATCTTGGGGTGGTGTGGTATGCAGCAGCAGATACCGAAAAACGGGAGACACACACCCTTTAGAGCTGAATCTGTAACGAGGGATATAAACTCCACCTTTGGAATCGACTCTAGGCTATTATCTGTTTTTGTAAATAAAGGTTTATTAGAACATAGTTATGACTATTTAAGTGTTGCTGATGGCTGCTTCTGTACTGCAATGTCAGGGTCAAGTCATGGGAACAGAGACTTTGTAGTCTGCAAAGTGAAAATATTTTACCATCTGGTTCTTTATAGGCGATGTTTATCAGTGCCCCAATCTGTTACACTAGTCTACAACAAGGTGACAAGTAAGATGTATGTAAAACTGTGGTGGGACACTGGTCCTGGGATGAGAGGAACAAATGTCTACTCACCCTGGATATGGAACTAATGATGAACCTAAGTAAGGACGGACTACCAATGCTGACTTTGGTGAACCAATAAGTTTTATTGGGGTTACTTACAGGACTATGGATGAAGGGTTACTTCCAGAGGTAGAAATAACTGAAAGACAGCTTCAGAACCAAAGCCCACCCCAGCATGGGTGACAGCTCACAAAAGCTGTTCACACTGCACAGCCTGCAGGCATCTTAACAGGTGGGAGAGTGTCCTTTCCAGGTGGCCCAGTTGGTCTGAGCCTCTTCCAGGCAGCTTTACCTATTCCAGGCAGTTGGGCTGCTCTCTGCCTATTTTAGGTAGCTTGATGGGTCTGAGAGTTACCTCTCACAGCAGTCTGTACTACCTATATATTCATGAAGAAGGAGGGGCCTAGTGTATTGGTCAGTTTTAGGGCCTTCCTGAAACCTTTGAGTTGTTTACTTCCTGATCTTAACATGTTTCCCTGAATTGTGAATGTTCCACCGCTCTTAAGAACATCCTATAGTTTCACTAGTCTACATTATGTGTCTTAAGAAATGTCCCTCCAAGTCGGAAGGTTTTAATCTCGGAGGGAACTGCCACACAACAGAAGCCTGATGCTCAAAGCCCACTGGCTTTATAGGAGATGGCTTGCCTCCATGTAGAAAAAATGTCTCACTGTCTTCGGCTGTAGCAATGGTGGGTTTTCCCTAAGACACATCTTTCTTCTGTTTCATAGTAGCACAGAGTAGGTTTGTGGATGGTTGCATTGTATTTAACAAAAATTCAGTCTCCTTTTTCCACCTCCATGAGACTGGTATGCATCTATCCCTCCCTTTCTGATGTCTTTGACTGTGAAGCTTGTTTCGGTGTGTGCCAGGTAAGAGGGTATGACATTTGCCAAGGTTTTCAATGCGTCTGTGTGGTTTGGCATAAGTTCCTGCTGTTTGCATGAGAGAAGCATGCTGTTACCTGGTCTCAGAAGGGACCACAGAGCAGAACTAAACCTGACCTGTGGTCTAGATTGCAAGCTGGTCCAGATCCATGTGCAGTTGAGGCCAGCAGAGTACAATGAATCTGTAGATCCACAAACAGCATTTTTTTCTTTTCCAGTGACCATTATTAGTTACTGAAAGTTTTTGTAGTTGTTATTTGGTATATTTCAGATATAACTAACTGATACAAAGCCCATGATGCACAGAAAAAAATATTCCTTATAGACATGCTATTAGCCCATAAAGCTTCTGTGTGAAAATTAGAGAAAGCAGCTGTCAGGGTTTTCTGTCAGAAAATTGCTATCTAATGTTTATGCTATGAGGCACCTGGTTGCTAACCATGGAATGGTCCTAGCAGGTATACAGAGCCATGAAATCTGTTACGTGAATGTCACCCAGTTCCAGGCATCACCTTTGTGCAGTGAGCAGCACAACCATGAGTGATGACTGTGTACTGTGAGAGACCGCAGTAAGCGAGAAGAGCTATGACTAACTTCTGGTGTGTTGGAGGCAGACAAAAGTAGTTTGCCGGGTGATAGCACTTTTGAGTTGACATATGTCCAGGGACATATGTCCTTATATTTCTTCACAGACAAATTCTAATCTTTTTTTTTTTTCTCTTGAGATTAGAGAGGTGGGCCAGGGCAAAAGTAGAGTTCTCAGCAGGAAAGGAAAGAAAAAAGCCATCAAAAATTTTAATTTTGGAGGCTGGGCAGATGGCTCAGCAGTTAAGAGTGTTTTTTATTATCTTCTAAGGGACTTGAGTTCAGTTCCCAACATTCATATCAGGCTGCTGACAACCACCAGCTACAAGGAATCTGACTCCCTCTTCTGGTCTCAGTGGACACCTGAACTCACCTGCACACACACACACACACACACACACACACACACACACACACAAAATTAAGAATGTTAATTTATTACTATAATTTACTGCTGGCACTAAACACTTTCTGTTCATTTCTCTGGGATAAATACGAGATCAAAATCCTTATTCTTTGCCTTCACTTTTTCTTTTCTTCCTTTCTAGGGTGAGGGAGGAGAGTAGATTCATTAGTAAGTCATAATCGACAGTGTGCGATCAAATTAGTCTTTCCCAGTGCCTTATCCAAATGAGGTCAGGAGAAGATGTATAACTTTCCAAACTGCTGCTATTACCTGGCTCAGGCCTGTGCATCCCACAGTGCTGGGGGCAGGGGCCACACCTCACCTATGGCTGTGGAAAACCTAGACTGTATAGTGGGAAACAAAACAGAAAAGATCTACTTTGAATTTTGGTCCTTGATTTATTAATGACTTGTGTTTCAGTCTTCGTTACAAAATGAGAGCACTAATTATGCTTCCAATGCTTGTTAGGGGGGTTAAATGAAGACAATGTACAAGAATAATCTAGAAGAATGTGCTATATAAAAAGGCATTCTTTCCATTTTCGAGGGGAGGAATTTTGGGGCTGAGTAAGAAGCATGCATCTCTGCTCCCTTGACTTGTCTCTTTTCTCATTTGGGATGCCTTTCCATCTACATTTTTTTCTCTCTTGTAGTTCACCCCTGCATACAACAGGCTAGTTGGCACAGGAGCTCCACCTGACTTTACCTCCCATCTCCCCATAGGAACACAGGACTCACAGATACATGCTATTTTGGTTTTTTTTTTTTTAATTAAGAAAATTTTTATTCATGTTACATACCAACCACAGATCCCTCTCTCTTCCCACCTCATGTCCTCCAGTCTTGTCCCCCCAAAGCACCCCCATTTCCTCCTCTGACAAGGTAAGACCAAAGCACCCCCATTTCCTCCTCTGACAAGGTAAGACCTCCTATGGGGAGTCAGCAGAGCCTAGTACATTCAGTTGAGGCAGGACCAAACCTCTCCCCTTGCATCAAGGCTGTGCAAGGTGTCCCACCATAGTTAGTGGGCTCCAAAAAGCCAGCTCATGCACCAGGGATGGATCCTAATCCTACTGCCAGGGGGCCCCTTAAGCAGATTAAGCTACACAACTGTCTTGCTTATGCAGAGGGCCTAGCCAGTCCCATGTGAAAGAGATACCATAATAGAGGGTGATGTCATGGGAATAGGGAGAAACCTGGTGCTAGGGAGGTTCCCAGGAATCCACAAGGATGACCCCAGCTTAGACAACTAGCAATAGTGGAGGGTGCCTGAAGTGGCTTACCCGGTAATCAGATCGGTGAATACCGTAACTGTCATCATAGAGTAACTGATGGAAGCAGATGCAGAGATCCACAGCCAAGCACCAGGCCAAGCTCCAGGAGTCCAGTTGAAGAGAGAAGAGGGATTCTATGATCAAGGAGCATTAAGATCATGATGGGGAAACCTACAGAGACAACCAAACGAAGCTAGTGGGAACTCATGAACTTTAGACCACAGACACCTCCGTCCAGCTTTTACAGCATTCTGGGGGGTTTGAACTCAGGTCTTCACACTTGCACGGCAAACACTTTTGCTCATTAAGCCGTCTCCCCAGCCCTTCTCTTCCCTTCTTGCTGCTATCTTGTTCTAAAAGCCGTAAAAACAAGCAGATGATTGTACTTGCTCAGTTAGACCCAGGCAAGCCCCTGGCGTATCTACATTTCCTTCTAGGTTATAAAGTCCCAGAAGAGGGATCTTATTTATACTGTGTGCCAGGGCCCAGCTGGTGCCAGACACATGGCGAGCAAGTATGATGCTTATTGAATTCAGACTGTATTATCTTGGAATAAGTGAAAGGCTAACTATATCACATCACAGTCATTTTTCAGTCCATCCATCCAATAAATATTTATTGCTTGCCCACCATCTGCATGACTGAATTTTATGGCTAAGGGTAGAGATGGCGAAACCGACAATTTTACTTAGAAAGCAAATGCTCCCTGGCATTCTTCTTCAAGCTTCTGGGTCAGCCTAAGATGTCTTGCAACAAAGGTAAACGGAAGACTAGATTGCACACTGAAGCCAGTAGACTGTACTGAAGCCCCTCCTCCCCACTTTAAAATATGTCACTCAAAACTATTGTTCCAAAATGCTAGTGCCTGCATTTCCAATAAGTACGTGTTTACAAATTTGAATTTATAAACGTTTTGCTAGCAATATTTGGCTTTTCAAAAATCTGTCCATTGAGGACCCGGATAAGATGTAAGTTGAGGAAACAGCTGTCAGACATTCATTTGAGAAGCTGTCCCCTCTGCGTCCAGCCTGAGGCCTGACTTAAGTTATTTGGTTTTTCAGACCTGACACAACTTGTCACCTTTGGCCTAATTAAAGCGTCCCCCTGTGCGATTGCTGGAATACTTACATCAGCTCTAAAACTCCAAGCATGCTCCAGCTGCTGACCACAGGAAGGCTAACAGTGCTCTAGTCTCTAAGGAGTTGACCCCTCTGAGAACATGTCTTTAAATCAGCCGATCACAACATTTCAGGTAAGTTTAAGGGATAATGCCCACTGATTGTGTGTGTGTGTGTGTGTGTGTGTGTGTGTGTGTGTGCGCACACGCACAGTGCATACACACTTGTATGTGTATACCTGTGTATGTGAAGGTCTGTGACAACCTTGATGTTATTTCTCTGGATCTGTCCCACTATTTGTCTGTCTGTCTGTCTATTTTGTTTGTTTGTTTGTTTTGAGACAGAGTCTCTCACTGGCCTGGAACACGCCGCATAGGCTAAGCTCCCTGACCAGCCAGCGGATCTGCCTGTCTCTCCACTTCTCCAGCTCCGGAGTTAACAACATGTCCAGCATTTTTAAGCCTGTGTTCTGAGGGTTGAACTCAGGCTCTGATGCTTGCAAGGTAAGTGGGTTACTGACTGGACTGTCTTCCTAGCCTGTGTCCGTGGATCTTAATGAAGGCATAGCTGTGAGATAGTTTTCCCTCCCTCCCTCCCTCCCTCCCCCTCCTCTCCCTCTTTCCACTCCTTTTGAACATAAATTCCTCACCCTCACAGGTGACTCACACACACAGTAGCTCCTTGTGGCTGCTGTCAAGAGACAGCTAACCTCAATACCAAATTAAAACGAGTCACAGACACAAACAGAACCAGCACCATCAGAATATGAAATCACGCCAAGAGCACAGCTGCCCAGAAGGCAACCAACCCTTGCTGCAAAGGAGTAGAGAACACTTTGGGCTGAGCAGACCACACGGGCTTCAGTGCCATCATCACTCAGGCTCTTGCAGTGTGCTATCAGCCGCGCACATAAATAAGAGCGGGTGTGGCTCTGCTCCAATAAAACTTACAGGAGCAGGGTGTAGGCTGAGTTTAGCCTGCAGGCTGGAGTTGTTGATTCTTGATTTATAGGAACAGGCTTTATCATCTCTAGAATTCTCTAGAGTTATTCTCTCTCATCTGCAGGGTCCTCGTGTATAGAAGTGCTAATGAATCATGCCCCAGGGAATGTGGAGAAGGTCAGGTAGGATGGGACAGAAGAATGCTTGGGACTGTCAGAGCTTTCCTCCTGGCAGTTAGTTACCTTTTGAGCACCCAGTGCTGCAAGCCTTGCCTCCCTCTTCTGTTGCCTGCTCTGGGATAGTCTGCATATTGCTAGTATTTCACACTTACGAAAGCGAAGAACTAATACAATGGCCTAAGGGGGCTCGCTGTTAGAGGCTACCTGTCTAGCTAGCACTCCAGGGAGAAGCTTCTAGAGCCAGGGACCTCTCTCCTTTCTCCATTTCTCTCCTTGCTTTGATGAATTACCCTTCACCTGTGTCTTCTGTCGTTGCTCTTACCATCCAAGGAAATGGGACTTCTAAGTTGCAAATCATGGAGTCAGATTTGTATCGTGTCTACAGAGTCTACAGAGTCCAGTAGCACACAGGCGTAGTCCGCAGGCGAAGGAGCTTTGTGTTGCCTGGGCTCCGTATGCAGAAGGGGTTTGCCTTGTCATAACTTGAGTTTTGGAGGCAGACACTGATGGTTTTGATAAATGGTACTGGTGGCGGTGCTGGTTACCGGCGGAAAAGTCCCGGGCCATGGCCATGACTACCAGAGTTACAAAGAGCTTTATTAGAAAGAAGGAGGGGATAGGAGGGAGGAGAGACAGGCTTGGAGAGAAGGAAAGATGGCGGGCGCAGAGCAGAGAGCAGAGAAGGAACAGAGAGAGAGAGAGAGAGAGAGAGAGAGAGAGAGAGAGAGAGAGAGAGAGAGCAGAAAAAGAGGGCCGGGTCCCGCATCAGGCTTTTTTAAGACTCAGATTGTGTGACTACGTAGTCACCAGTGCCTGCTGATGATGTAAGACACTAGACCCCGAGCTGCGCATGTACAGGATCCTAACAGACACGATAGAATTCTTACTCCTGTCGCAGGAGATGATATGAATTGGGGCAAAATAACCTCATTTCTTCATATGATGAAGTAGTTAAAATACCTCTCACAGTGGTATTGGAGTGAACTATATAAAACATGTCAACAAAAGGTCAGCTGATCAGTTCAAAATATATTTATTCATATTTACATAAAATTCCTGTATGTATGACATGAAAGCAGAGGGGTGGACTCTTGGGGAGGAATTAGTAGGAGGGAGACCAAGGAGGGAGTAATGGGGGTTATAGGAACATGAGCAAAGTATCATGGTATATGTGTATGAAAAAGTCTAATGAAATCCATCATTTTGTATGCTAACTAGAAAAAGAGCAATAGTGTGCACAGGGGACTGGTACACAGAGACTCATGCTTCTTTTCATTGTACTGCCCCAGAGCTGGAATTGTAGCTTGTGCATAAATAATATTGAATAAATAGATTTTTCTCACATAAATGTAATGATTATGATTTTCCCTCCCTCTGTGTCTCCCAGTTCTTCCCCACCTCACCTTCCTTTTTTTTTTTTTTTTTTTCGAGATAGTTTCACTGTGTAGCTTTGCGCCTTCCTGGAACTCACTCTGTAGCCCAGGCTGGCCTTGAACTCACAGAGATCTGCCTGCCTCTGCCTCCTGAGTGCTGGGATTAAAGGTGTGCGCCACCACCGCCCAGCCAGATCCACCACCTTTCTGTCTCTCATTAGGAAAAAGTGGGCTTCTAAGGGATAATAGTGGGATAAAATAAAACATAACAAGATAAAGCAAAACTAACACATCAGAACTGGACAAAACAAACAAACAGGAGGAAAGAACCCAAGAAAAGACACAAGAAACAGATACAGATGCAGAGATCCATTTGTTCGCACACTCAGGAATCCCATAAAAATACTAACGTGGAAATCATACTATATACCTAAAGGACCCATGAACGCAGGCCCTGTGCATGCTGCCTCAGTCTCTGTGAGTTCCTATGTGTGTTGACTCTATTTAGAGGGCCTTGTTTCCTTGGTGTCCTCTATCCCCTCTGGCTCTTAGACTCTTTCCCACCCTGAGCCTTATGGGGAGGGATTTGATGGAGACATCTCATTTAGACTGAGTGTTACAAGGTCTCTCATTCTCTGCATATTGTCTGGTTATGGGTCTCTGTATTTGTTTCCATCTGATGCAGGAGGAAGTTTCTCTGATGATGGCTAAGCAAGGCACTGATCTGTGGGTATAGCAGAATGTCATTAGGAGTTATTTTATTGCTGTGTTCTTTTAGTAGAACAATAGTATTTGATTTTACCCTAGGTCCCCATGCTATCTAGTCCCAGGTTCTTGGTCACCCAAACAGTGTGGGGGAGAGGTTCCACCTCTTTGAGTGGGTCTTAAGTCAAAATAGATATTGATCGGTTACTTTTGCAAGCTTTGTGCCTTAATTGCACTAGCATATCTTACAAGTAGAATACCATTGCAGACCAAAGGGTTTGTAGCTGGATTGGTGTTTACATTTCTCCTTTGGTAACTTGCAGAATACCTTCCTGTACCAAAGATGCTAACACACCATAGGGGTGACGGCTTTATGGAGGCACCAGCTTGATTTCTCCATGTTCAATGAATTGTGTAGGTGTTGTCTTCAGCAATGGGGCCTTGCCATCAGTTTGTGGAGAGCAACCTATAGTCTTGCCAACAGCCTGAGTTGTTTAGAAGTTCCTATGGGACCCTTTGGCCAACAACTAAATTAGATGTAGCCCAGTCCTAATATTGGAAGCTCCATTTGATGACAAGTATTGTTCAGATGAGATTCTGTTTCCCCCATTATTTGGCAATTTCATTTAGATTGCTTTCATGTATAAAAGTATTTTAGAAAGCATCTACTATATTAGGTTTCTATACTACCCCTCAAGTGGCCCTTAATTTTAGCTGTCCTTCCCTGTATTCCCTCCATTGTTCCCCTCTTTCCTCCCCCTCCCCACTTGATCCTCCCATTCTAGTCCCCTCCCCCATCCATCCTTAACTCTCTGTTCTATTTCCCTGTCCTAATGAGATCTATTGGTCCCCACTAATCACTTACTTTATACCTAACCTCTGTGATTCTATGGATTGTAGCTTGCTTATCATTGACTTAACAACCAATATCCACATATGAGTGAATACATACTTTCTGGGTCTATGACAGCTCACTCAAAATAATTTTTTCTGGTTCCATCCATTTACCTGTAAATTTCATCATTTTGAGTTCCATTGTGTAAGTGTGCACATTTTATTTCTCCATTTATCTATTGAGGGACATCTAGGTTATTTCCAATTTCTGGTTATTATGAATAGAGGAGCAGTGAACATAGCTGAACAAGTGTCTCTGTGGTAGGATGAAGCATCCTTTGGATATATGCCCAAGAGTGATGTCTTGGGGTTTCATTGCTGTGGATAGATGTCATGGCCATGGCAACTCTTATAGAGGAAAATATTTAATTGGGGGCTGGCTTGCAATTCAGAGGTTCAGTCCATTGTCATCATGATGATGTCTTTTGCCTTACAGAAGCTTCTCAGTTTCTCGAGGTCCCATTTATTAATCATTGATCTTAGTGCCTATTCTAGTTCTAGAAATGTTCTGTTCAGAAAATACTTTCTTATGCCAATGAGTCTAAGGATATTCCCCATTTCGTCTTCTAATAGGTTCAGTGTATCTGTTTTTATGCTGTAGTCTTTGATCCATTTGGAGTTGAGTTTTATGCAGGTTGATAAGTATGGATTTATTTAGATTCTTCTACATGCAGCCATCCAGTTTGACCAGCACCATTTGTTGAAGATACTGTCTTTTCTACAGTGTGTATTTCTGGCCTCTTTATAAAGAAAAGGCATCCATAGGTGTATGGATTTATGTCTAAGTCTTCAATTCAATTCCATTGATCAATGTGTTTATTTTTGTGCCAATACCATACTTTTTTTTTTAAATTACTATAGCTCTGTAGTATACTTTGAGGTGGGAAATACCAATACCTCCAGAAATTCTCCTATTATTCAGGAGTGTTTTAGCTATCCTGGACTGTTTGTGTTTCCATATGAAGCTGAAAATTGTCCTTTCAAGATCTGTGAAAAATTGTGTTGAAATTTTGATGGGGATGGCATTGAATCTGTGGATTGCTTTAGTAGGGTGGCCATTTTTACTACGTTAATCCTACTCATCCATGAGCATATCTTCTTCAATTTCTTTCTATTGTGTCTTAAAGTATTTATCATACAAATCTTTCACTAGTTTGGTTAGAGTTACCTCAAGGTATTTTATATTATTTGAGACTATTGTGAAAGGTGTTTTTTCCCTGATTTTCTCAGTCTGTTTGTCATTTGCATATGTGTGTGTGTGTATATATATATATATATATATATATATTATATATATATATATATATTTGTGAGTTCATTTTGTATCCAGCTCCTTTGCTGAAAGTGTTTCTCAGTTGAATTTTATGTATGCTATCATATCATCTGCAAGTAAAGATACTTTGACTTCTTC